GGTGAGAGAGAGACCAGGGCTGATCTTACAGTCACCATCACACTGCGGTTCTTAGATTCTGGTCTGTGACTTTGGGCTGGATGAGTGGTCATTTCTTTGCCACTGGAGTCACTACACGCTGAGCAGATGCAGAAGAGAGTCATGGTGCGTTGCTCTAAAGACTTGCCTGCATTTAGACAACTACAATGTTTGCTTTATAGTCTTATTCTTTTAGATATCTCACAATCATTTACTCTAATTAGCACCTGATGTTTATGAAGGAAGAAGGAAATACAGTCATCCCTCTTCGCCTCAGGGAACATGTCCCAAGACTCCAGTGGGTGCCTGAACCTGGGGATAGTACCTGCCCCTGTATACATGAGGGGGGGTGGGTAGTGATAATCGTCTGATAACCAAGGTGGCTACTGAGTGACTCAGGGGCAGGAGGCACAGACAGCATGGAGACTTTAGGGCACAGGGATGATTCACATTCTGGGTGGGACAGAGCAAGACAGCACGAGATTTCATCACTCCCTGTTAGCTGGGCTTAAGTGAAATCGACATCCTGTGTCAGTTTGTTGTGTCACATTATATGTCGTATATGTTGTCACTATACAACAAAATGATCTGGAGTATACGCATACTCCCAGTTAGCTAGGAGACTTTTTTTGAGACAGAGTCTTGTTCTGTTGCCCAGGCTGGAGTGCAGTGGTACCATCTTGGCTCACTGCAACCTCCACCTCTTCCAGGTTCAAGAGATTCTCCTGCCTCAGCCTTCCAAGTAGATGGGACTACAGGCGCCCACCACCACGTCCAACTAATTTTTGTATTTTAAGTAGAGATGGGGTTTCACCACGTTGGCCAGGCTGGTCTCAAACTCCTGACCTCAAGTGATTCGCCCACCTCAGCCTCCCAAAGTGGTGAGATTACAGGCGTGATCCCCACCATGCCCAGCCAAAACATCTAAACTTTTAAGTCATGCCAAACATCACCAGCTTTAGGATTCTTTTGTTGGTGAGGTTTGAGTAATGGGGATTTTAAGGGAACTGTCAGCTTTCATGAAAACAGTGACACCCCCATTACTTGGAAATGCTTATTCAAATTAAGTTAAAAACTGGAGCTTCCTAAGACTTAAAATGGATTATCAGACATATAGTAAGTATACTTGACACTCACCCCCAAATCAGAATGACCTGGAATGAGCTGCATGCAGGCGCACACGTGTTATGAGCTGAGCCTGGTACGCAGCGGTCCAGGATTCCTAACTCGCGCACACTCCTTCCTCACCACCTCCTATTCTTTATACTTTTAAACCAGAGCCCGTGAATTTCAGAGAGCTCATGAATCCCCTGAAATGATGAAATAGTAGGCATATGATTTTGTTAAAGAATCCACAATGGTTACCAGATTCTTAAAGCTGTGACCCATCCCCACCCCAGATGAGTTTATGAAATCCTGATTGAAGATTTTAAAATATTGGAGACTGTGAGTTGACTCGTTCCATTTATTAAAATCCTCAAACACTTGATACTTTTGCTTAACAGGCTGAGTTCAGGCTACAGGAAACAGATTTTGTTTTGTTCTGTTCCAGCTATCCATAAAGACCTAGAAATAAAAACATGAATTCTGTGAAATAGAAATCATCATCTCTATTTAACAGCAAAGTGTTACTGTATAAGTAATATTTCATATGACTCTAACCACCAACAGCATGGGGCCCCCTCTCCATTTGATAGAAACTTTGGAACTAAAATCTCTGCCAGAGCTATGGAGTGCATCACTGCAAAACTCAAGGAGGCTCAGGGCAAAGGTAAGAGGCCATCTGCCTTGGTGAAAATGCTGTCTTATTGGGGAGAAGTAGGGTGCTGGTTCCTTCTTCAGTTCAGTACTGAGCTGCGTGTGATGTTTTAACTCCTACTGGTCTCTGAGCATTGCTATTTAACCAATCTTGGATTCCTGGGATAAAGTCAGCTTGGGCGTGCATGACATGTTCTCTTTTATCACTGCTAGATTCAACCTGAAGTTTTGTGCAGGCTTTTTGCTCTGGAGATCCTGAGCATCAGCCCGCAGTTTCCCTCAGTTTAAGTGGGGCCTTCTGTGTCTTGGATGTTTGGTAGGACAACCCCCTTGTGACTCCATCCATCAGAACTTCCAGTTTTGAGGAAGATTTGGCTGCTGAATGAATTGTTCATGTTTGTAGAACTATGCATGCTTTTCCTTAAATCAGTTTTGTAAGTTACATATTCTACCAAATCTTTAGATAAACTGAAAAGTTTTAAAAAACATGACATTTTTTATGATACTCTTGTTAATGGTTCCAACATGGCTGGTCCCCACTCAGGAATGAGTGGCTATTTGTGCCAGCGTCTTTCTCACCCCCACCCCCCTCAGCTTTCTTCAGTCATACCAGATGTGTGCTTTTATTAGGGCAAACCATTATCACTGCCAATGTCCAACTTAGAAGAATGACAGTTCACAAAAAAGTGATGTGTGAATAGTTTCAATCGGTTTGTCTTTTTGAAGAACTGATTCTACATCAGTTTTCTTTTGCTAATTTAGCTATGGATGCTTCTCATGCCTCAGTGTGTGTATTCGTGAGCATCAATTTCTTATTAGTGTTTTGCCGTAATTTAAAGTAATTTCCCTATTCCACTATTTAGTGAAAAATTCTCTCCACTGAAAGAAAAAACAAAAGCTGCTTTCCAGGAAGCCATCAGCGCAATCCTATAAGAGCAGAGCTGCACAAGCCCAGACCAGGCAATGGCCACACTGTGGCTGTTCTCGGCCTCCTCCGGGGCTTCCAGGCCAGGTTCAGCATGGTTCCCGGGAATCTCACTTATCATCTCGCCCCGTGATTCTGCTCCCCCACCTGACCATGTGACAGGGGGGTGTTAATCTTTTTTTTAAACCTTTTATAGGAAAAAAATTGACCACCAATGATTTCGTTTGTGTGCTGGAAATAAGCAAAAGAAACGTTATTTTTTAACCTGTTGCAGAGCTGAAGAAGCAAACGGATTTTGAGTAAGTTGGGGTCTTATTGCCTTAGCAAACCCAGTCAATGTGAGTACAGGATGGGAATGGCCATTGCTGTTGCTTTTGGCAACTCATTCAGGGGTTTGAGGAACTAGATTTTCTGAAGCTCAGTTAAAAAAAATACTAGGTCTTGGCTAGGTCCGGTGGCTCACACCTGTAATCCCAGCACTTTGGGAGGCCTAGGTGGGTGGATCACAAGGTCAAGAGATCGAGACCAGCCTGGCCTGCGTGGTGATGCACACCTGTAGTCCCAGCTACTCAGGAGGCTGAGGCAGGAGAAATCACTTGAACCCGGGAGGCAGAGGTTGCAGTGAATTGAGATTGCACCACTGCTCTCTAGCCTGGTGACAGAGCGAGACTCTGTCTCAAAACAACAATAAGAAACTACCACTCAGTCTTTGGGAAGAAGTTTTAGAAATATAAAAACAATGGTTTCATTTGACCCTGAAATTGGCTTTATCATCTAGTTGATTCAGCCGACCCTACAACCCCCATATTTCTGGCAAGAGACCGCTCACTGTGCTGGCCGTGGCATCTCAGCTTCACTGCTGTCCCCCCTTCCCTCCAGAGGCACAGGATTCCCAAAGAACAGTGGTGGCTCAAGCTGCAGCCCCTCATGAAGATCCTGGCCAACTACAAGGCCAGCTATGATGTGTCGGACTCAGGCCAGCTAGAGCACATGCAGCCCTGGAGCGTCTGACCCAGTCCTGCCTGTGTGTGCCTGCAACCATCTGTTTTTGTAACACTTGTTATTTATCAGCACTTTATACAAGTATTATTAACATTAATACCTAATCAGCAAGTACCTGTCACCCCACCCGTGTGCCCCACCAGCTCCAGTGCGTGCTGTCTGGACTGTGTCTCATGCTTTCAGATGTGCGTATTAAACGTTTGCCTACAACTGCAACAGTCCTCCGTTTTAGTTTAAGTAGGAGATTAAAACCTCAATCTATAGGTGGTTGCTAAAGGTTTTCTCAGCAGTTGTGTGGGCAAAGATTATAAAAACATTTTTTAACAGGGATCACTGAACTATGCACAAGTCATAAAAGGAGAACAAAGCCAGTAGTTTACCCAGGCCAAGGGGAATGCCACGTTTACTTACCATTCATATTTGCCATGTGTCAGTTTCCATCCACAGCAGCAGGCCAGGACCCTGGGCCTCAACTCCAGGCTCCTGCTCTCCTTAGTAAAAGGACACATGAATCTTATCTACTCGGCCTCTTGATTGCAATCCTAGCTGCATGTTAAAACCACCAAGGTAGGGGTTCAAAAAATCGGATAGCCAGCTTCTCATCCAGTCTCTTGCCAGAGTAGACGTGGGTGCTGGGGTGACACCCCTGCTGCCCTCGTGGGCCCCCCTCCTGTAGGGACAGCGTTTCTGCCTCTTGGCTCTAGTCTGCAAGAGACCACAGCTGTGCCTCA